CTTTACCCCCCCCTCCCTCGGGGGGGGGCGCCCCCCCGCCACTCCTCTCCCGCACTTCTATTGGTGTTCGTCCTTATCAATCACAGCTAGTTCCCTCCTCCTCGGCCCACAGCGGGCGCTGATTGGCTTCTCCCCCAGGAGGGCGGGCTCCACCCCGCGCGCGGCGCGTCGCGAGCCCCCCGGCTGAGGGGACTGAGGGGGGCGGCGGTCGCCATGTCGGGCCCAGCGGCGGAGCCCGGCGGCCCTGCCGGGAAGCGCCCGGAGACTTTGGACCTGCTGGAACGTTGCGGCGTTTGCCGAGAGCGCCTGAAAGCCGAGAGGGAACCCCGGCTGCTGCTCTGCCTCCATTCGTTCTGCCGGGAATGTCTGAGGCCTGCGCCGGGCCCGGCCGCCGCCCCCGCTCCGGATGCGTCAGGTGAGGCTGTGCCACATCCTCTCAGAAATGGCATTTCAACCGCTGCTCTGCCATCTCCGGAGGCGAGGAGGAGGAGGAAGGGTAGCTCGGCGGCTGCTTCAAAGGTGGATGATAGACCCAAGCAGGAAGGAACCACTGTGGAGGTTCAGGGTGGATATTGGGAGAAAACTCTGGCGGTTTGGCTCGAGAAAAAGCCACCTGTGTCGCTGTGGGACCCCCTGAGGGGGGGTGTCCCCTCTGCCGTGACATTGGGGACAGCCCCGAGGCCGTGATGGGACTCCAGTTTTGGAGGTCTCCAAGGTCTTGGTGTCACCAGGAGGTCCCAAGATCCTTCTGGTTTCTTCCTCCTCTCGCCCCACTAATGAGCCACGGCGGTTTTGGCAGGGACAAGGCACCCTGTGGCTCCGTGAGGGGAATCTCTAGTGACAAAGGGAGGTGATGGGGGTGACCCCGGGCCCCCCCCGAATGTCCCCTCCTCCCCTCCCCAGCAGTTGTCAGCTGTCCCGTCTGCAAACACCAGTGTGACCTGAAGGACGTCATGGAGAACTACTTCTTGAAGGACAGCAAGACCCAAGATGCTGCCGCCAGCCAGGAATCCACTCAGGTGAGGCATCGTTAGTGCTTAATTAACAATTAATGAGGGTGAAGTGAGCTCCCTGCTGCTGGCTGAGCCCCCCGTGTGTGTGTCCCCCCCCCCAGTGCTGCACCAGCTGCGAGGACAACGCGCCGGCCACCAGCTACTGCGTGGAGTGCTCGGAGCCCCTCTGCGAGACCTGCGTGGAGGCCCACCAGCGGGTCAAGTACACCAAGGACCACACCGTCCGGGCCACAGGTCTCTCCCTGTCACCCTCCTTGTCACCGCGCTGTCACCCTGCTGTCACCCTCCTCCCCGAGGCAGTGACACCCTGCGGCTGGCGTGCCCCCCAGGCGTGTCTGGAAGTGCTGCTGCGGTGGCCATGCCTGTCCCTCCTCCTCCTCCTCCAGTGGGTGCTGGTGACGTCACGGTGATGTCACCGCGCTGTCCCCGCAGGCGGTGCCAAGGCCAAGGAGAAGGAGCGCCCCGTGTACTGCTCCGTGCACAAGCAGGAGCCGCTGGTGCTCTTCTGCAACACGTGCGACACACTCACCTGCCGGGACTGCCAGCTCAACGTGCACAAGGACCACCAGTGAGTGGAAGCGGGCGCTAATTAATCTAATTAACCTTGATTGTTTTCCATGGCTTGTCCTGCTTGTTAGTCCTTAACGTCGGCGATTTGGGGTAAGTCAGATAAATAAACTGATTTATCAACCGAAAAGATTGTCTGCACCCTCTCAGCGAGGCCCTGCAGCACCTTAAAGTGTTTTTAATTAATATCTGAGAAGGTAAATAAGTAATTAAACCGATTAACTAGTTATCGATAAAGTTAGCCTGCACGTTAATTATCCCCATCACTTAATTACTGATTTGAAAAATGAAGCTCGTTAGTTAGTAGCTGTCCAGCTACTGAAGGGATTGACTCAGTAGAGTCTGAACTTTGGTTAATTTTTGTTTTTAACCAAATAGATTCGTTGTCTGATTAATTACTTTACTAATTAGTGCACAGGTTGTTTGCAGAAGCTTAAAACTGTTTTTAGGTTTTAAGGAATTGGAGATCCCTAATTTGTGAGTCCTGGAACACCAATCTAATTACCTCCTTAGTTATTTCAGTGAGGTTGGTTGTTAGTTTTTAATTGTTTTTTTTAACTGGACTGGTTTTGCTGTCAAACTGGTGAAATTTCTTGGTTGAATCGATAATTACCTTAATTAATTAGCCGAGCAGGTAGCTGGTTAGATTACTTACCTGGTTGATTTGTATATTAAAAGCATATTGGAGGCACAATTTGAGTTAAGTAAGTAATTAAGTTAAAGCGTTGTGGTCCGTGAGTTTGTTGGCTGGCTTCTTAACCCAAATTAATTAGATTGCTAACGACTAACGAGTAAATGGGGAAATTAACCAAGTCTTGAGTGGGTTAAACTCAGTCAAGGCAGTTCCCTTCTCTGCTGGCTCTGGGAGTCACAGGGGGGTTGGGTGTCTCCAATGGGGCTATTTTGGGGCCTTTCCTTTGGGGGGGCTGCACCTGGGGGGGTGTGTTTTAGGGTTTGTCACCCCCCCCCCCAGTCCCATTGTCACCTCCTTGGGCCCGTTGTCACCTCCCCACCAGGTACCAGTTCCTGGAGGACGCGGTGAGGAACCAACGCAAGACGTTGGCCAACCTGGTGAAGCGCCTGGGGGACAAACACGCCAACCTCCAGCGCTCCACCAAGGAAGTGCGCAGCTGGTACGTCCCCAAGGGAATTACCTGCCCCTCCCCACCCCTCCAGGGAGGAATTATTTAGGGGGGGGGAGGGTGAAAATTTCCTCCCTTCACCCCCTCCTTTGCCCCCAGCATCCGGCAGGTGTCGGATGTGCAGAAGAGGGTGCAGGTGGACGTGAAGATGGCCATCCTCCAGATCATGAGGGAGCTCAACAAACGCGGCAAGATGCTGGTGAATGACGCCCAGGTGAGCCCTGGAGACACACACACACACTCTGTAACACCTCCCCCTGTCCCTCTGCCCCGAGGTGGCATTGTCCTCTGTCCTCGCAGAAGGTGACAGTGAGGCAGCAGGAGAAGCTGGAGCGGCAGCACTGGGCCATGACCCAGCTCCAGCGGCACCAGGAGCACATCCTGCGCTTCGCCTCCTGGGCTCTGGAGAGCGACAACAGCACCGCTCTGCTGCTCTCCAAGAAGCTGGTGAGATACCTGGGGGTAACCCCCAGCTCCAACCCCTGCCTCCAGACCCCCCAGGACCCCTCAGCTTGGGCAGGGAACCACCCCTAGACGGGTTTTTGGGGGACCTTTTGGTTCTTTTGTCACCGGGACCGGTGGAGAGCGAAGCCTGGGCTCTGCTTCCCTCTGTGTCCCTGGTTTTGGGGGTGATGTGGGGTGAAAGCTGGGGCAGAAGATGGTCTCCTGTGGGGTGGCTTGTCCCCACATCTCCCCACGGTGCCCCATATCCTCCACCTGTGTCCCCAGGGTGTTGCAGCGGCGTCAATGGGACATGGGAGGAGGTCCCCATGGTGTGACGGGTGCTCCCCTGCCATGGGGGAGTGACAGGTGCCACATCGTGTCCCCTTGGGGTCCCGTGGTGGGTCCCATTGCAGTCTCTGTGGTGTGGTGGGTGCTGCAGGGGTCCCCTCGGGGTCCTTGTGGCACAGGGGGTACACCGAGGTGCTGCCATGTGTCCCCTCAGGGTCACCATGATGTGATGGGTGCCCTCGGGGTGCTACCACATGTCCCCTCGGGGTCTGTGTGAGGTGACAAGCATCCCCAGCGTCCTGCCATGTGTCCCCTCGGGGTCCCTGTGGTGTGACAAGCATCCTCAGTGTCCCTCTGGCGTGGGGGGTGCCTGAATTGCTGCCACATGTCCCCTCGGGGTCCGTGTGAGGTGACAAGCACCCCCAGCATCCTGCCATGTGTCCCCTCAGGGTCCATGTGGCACCAGGGTGCTGCCACATGTCCCCTCGGGGTCACCATGATGTGATGGGTGCCCTTGGGGTGCTGCCACGTGTCCCCTCGGGGTCTGTGTGGTGTGACCAAGCATCCCCCCCATCCTGCCATGTGTCCTCTCAGGGTCCATGTGGCATCAGGGTGCTGCCATGTGTCCCCTCGGGGTCACCATGATGTGATGGGTGCCCTTGGGGTGCTGCCACGTGCCCCTCGGGGTCCCTGTGGTGTGACAAGCATCTCCACCATCCTGTCATGTGTCCCCTTGGGGTCACCATGATGTGACAGGTGCCCTTGGGGTGCTGCCACGTGTCCCTCGGGGTCACCATGATGTGATGGGTGCCCTTGGGGTCCTGCCACATGTCCCCTCAGGGTCACCATGATGTGATGGGTGCCCTTGGGGTGCTACCACATGTCCCCTCGGTGTCTGTGTGAGGTGACAGGCATTCCCAGCGTCCTGC